CCAGGGGCATGAAGAAATGGCATTTATATGGCCACGGTAATTGGCTGTCACAGTGGTCACATGATTAGGAGTCGACTCTTCCAGCTACCAATCGTCAGTGGGGGCCAAGAGCCTTTGACAGTTCAGTTCCTGTTCTGAGAGCATGCCCTCAGCACAGAAATGTCTGCCACTCAGTGACCTTATGTGCGGCGTGAAGGCGTTAAAGTCCACTCTTTTGCCGCCACACATGTGTGTTCCGTGGGGGGGAAGCAGGTTAATATCATACTGCCAAATATCCCAGAAACCTTTGGTGACAATATGCCAACTTTCTCCAGCCATTTCATTTGCAGCTATAATTTTCCTGTAGGTACTCTTTCATCTGCTGATTTAATTTAAATTATTGCAGGAAATGATGAAAAACCTGTGATTATTCTCATGAGAACGAAAGAAGTAGAGTGATATTATACATGATTAATCACATATTTTGGGTGTAGCTCCCATAATGATTACACAATAACTGGGATAAACAATAGCTGTTTTGACAAACTATCTTATACCAGTACTGGGACACACCACGGTGAGAGGTCAGGGATAGGCTGTTTGGATCGCCCCCCCCCCCCCCCAATGAATTATTATTGTAGAGTTGGTTGTCTGATGATACAATACTATATAAATGGACAGTCATGATAATAAGAACTAAACTAACATAACATAGTGGTGGCCGCTGCTTCTTTCACCTATACCGGTGATAAACCCAAAACCAAAAATATTATATATTGCAACTTACCAATCATTAGATGTGGTGGCTGCATTAGTTTTCTATTTTTAGGCTTTCTTTCCCCTCCATTTTCACCTGGTGATCTGGCCAGTAACACACTTCCTGTATTACAGTGCCCCCACTCTGGATGAAAGAGCACAGTGGAAAGCAACATTCTCAGTCTGGGGGGAGGGGAGTGTTAGATGTACTAGCAGATTTAGATACACTGACAAATGAAAGCCAAATGCCAGCTGTATAATCAGTTACAGCAACAATTTTTTTGTACTTTTCGGATAAAGTTTTTTTTTTTTATATAAATAAGCAAAAGCTGATCATTGTAAGTGCCCCTGCCAGTGTTAAATGGTTTGTCTAATACCTGTCAACGGATATATTTGGACGAGAGCGAGTGTCTTTGAAAAACAACAGACTTACTGGCTTGATCACCAAATGGAAAAAAAGAAAAGAGGGGAATGATAGATGTACTAGCAGATTTAGATACACTGACAAATGAAAGCCAAACACCAGCTTTATAATCAGTTACAGCAACAATTTTTTTGTACTTTTCGGATAAAGTTTTTTTTTTTATATAAATAAGCAAAAGCTGATCATTGTAAGTGCCCCTGCCAGTGTTAAATGGTTTGTCTAATCCCTGTCAACGATATATTTGGACGAGAGCGAGTGCCTTTGAAAAACAACAGACTTACTGGCTTGATCAGCAAATGAAAAAAAGAAAAGAGGGGAATGATAGATGTACTAGCAGATTTAGATACACTGACGAATGAAAGCCAAACGCCAGCTGTATAATCAGTTACAGCAACAATTTGTTTGTACTTTTCGGATAAAGTTTTTTTTTTTATAAATACGCAAAAGCTGATCATTGTAAGTGCCCCTGCCAGTGTTAAATGGTTTGTCTAATCCCTGTCAACGGATATATTTGGACGAGAGCGAGTGCCTTTGAAAAACAACAGACTTACTGGCTTGATCACCAGATGGAAAAAAAGAAAAGAGGGGAGTGATAGATGTACTAGCAGATTTAGATACACTGACAAATGAAAGCCAAACGCCAGCTGTATAATCAGTTACAGCAACAATTTTTTTTTACTTTTCAAAGTTTTTTTTTTTATAAATAAGCAAAAGCTGATCATTGTAAGTGCCCCTGCCAGTGTTAAATGGTTTGTCTATTCCCTGTCAACGGATCTATTTGGACAAGAACGTGTTCCTTTGAAAAACAGATTTACTAACTTGATCACCAGATGGAAAAGAAAGCCTAAAAAAAAAAGAAAACGAATGCAGCCATGACATCTGAGGATTGGTGAGTTGCAATATACTAAATGCTGGCTTTTAGGTTTAATACAGCTTTAAGGGATTGTACAGGCATGATCAAAAGTTATTCCCGGACCTCTCTTTCCACTTCTAGACTCTTCCTGTAGCAAGAACCAGCTTTCATTACTTCCAGTGACCTCACTAGGCAACTTGGAAAATTCTTACAGGAGCAGCTGCTGGGGGTTCAATTCCTACTGATGTAGACATGTCCCCCCCCCCCAGAACTACAACTTCCAAGAGCCCTTTCTTTACATGCAGTGGGTGGGCAAGGCTTATGGAAATCAAGACAGAAGTATTGTTTTTCTGGGAAAGAAACCAATGTTTGCATGTTGAGATGGACAGAGGGGTGGGGGTTGAGAGGGACAGAGGGGTGGGGGATGAGAGGGACAGAGGGGTGGGGGATGAGAGGGACAGAGGGGGGGGGATGAGAGGGACAGAGGGGTGGGGGATGAGAGGGACAGAGGGGTGGGGGTTGAGAGGGACAGAGGGGTGGGGGTTGAGAGGGACAGAGTGGTGGGGGTTGAGAGGGACAGAGTGGTGGGGGTTGAGAGGGACAGAGTGGTGGGGGTTGAGAGGGACAGAGTGGTGGGGGTTGAGAGGGACAGAGTGGTGGGGGTTGAGAGGGACAGAGTGGTGGGGGTTGAGAGGGACAGAGTGGTGGGGGTTGAGAGGGACAGAGTGGTGGGGGTTGAGAGGGACAGAGTGGTGGGGGTTGAGAGGGACAGAGTGGTGGGGGTTGAGAGGGACAGAGTGGTGGGGGTTGAGAGGGACAGAGTGGTGGGGGTTGAGAGGGACAGAGTGGTGGGGGTTGAGAGGGACAGAGTGGTGGGGGTTGAGAGGGACAGAGTGGTGGGGGTTGAGAGGGACAGAGTGGTGAGGGTTGAGAGGGACAGAGTGGTGGGGGTTGGTTTCTGTAGTCCAGCAGGCAGGGCAAGTCCAAACAGGGAGCTAGACGCTCATTGGATTTCTGGCAGATCAACAGTTACGGTTCTGTCCTTGCAGCATTTTGTAAGGGAAAAGACATAGGGAAATGTGCATGTCCTGCATAGATGTACTGAATATGTTTATTTAAATTTAGTTTGACAAACAATTTAATGTAAATTGCTGTAGGGCACTGCCCAGCAGCTGAGAGCAACAATCTTCAGCATAAAGCACCAACAGGTTTTACATTTGAGAAATCCTAAATACCATTTTTATTAAATTCTCATAGGTGCGCCCTTGTCATTCCTTACCTATGTGTTGGTGACATATACAACTTCCTCCTGCAGCCTCCTGGCATTCCCATCCCACATATCCCCGGAGGCATGCTAGAAACGGCACAATCTCTCTCTGCATCATAAGGAGACTGGCTGCAAGAATCAAGAGAAGACAGCCGGCTTTTGATGACAATGAAGACACTTAGGTGATGGAGCAGAACAGGACCTGCCCTAAGAGAGCAAAAGCTCAGCTATAGGCAGCTGTCTTACATGTTATTGAGACACTGGAGATGCCCAATTTCTATACATGCTGACGCCTGTGAGAGCAAGGCCTTAGTCTGTACTGTTTCTTTACAGTGAAGCTGTCACAAGCTTAATTCCCTTTGCAGAGCAAAGTTAAAGGTTCACTTAAAGTGGTTGTAAACCTCAGACATGAAATATGAACAAAGCATATCCCTCTATAGTGTGTACTTGTCTCAATCTAGAGCACTAAGTGTAATTTCTGTTTGCTGCCTCTTTCCCCAGCTATCAGCATGAGTCGCTCCCCACCCCCTGCTTTCTGACACCTCAGACAAGCTTTGAACTGATGTATAAAAGAGGAGATTGTAGATAGGAAGGTACAGCTTATGTAGGAGGATTTGTTTCATCTCTGTGTATCACCTGAGGCCAGTCACTTCACTGGGTATATGGAGGGGTTTACAACCACTTTAACTTCTCTGCACACCAGCAGCATATTCCCATCATTCTGTTGTCCCCCCCCGCAGCTTCAACTGGTCATGCAGACATGGAAGCAAAGCCCAGTGTAAGCTCCAGACTGACTGGTTAGAGCTTTTACAAAGCCAAGGACTCCTTTCTTGGCTCCATGTGAAAATTATGGGCCAATCACAAGTCACTTGGAGCTCTATCACATAGGACAGGGGAGGGAGTCACTATCTATACCCATAAGTGGTGGGTATTTCACTTTGTGTCTGGCAGAAAAAAAAAATGGTGGGGCGTGAGGCAAAGTTTCTGCTGTGCGGAAGGGAATGGGGGGGGGGGGGGGGGGTAGGTGACCCTTTTCCTTTGCTAATTTCAATGAGGAATCTGAAAGCTTCAGTGTTTATGCAATGCAAATCACAGTCATGTCCTTTTTTTTTATTATTATTATTATTATTATTATACAGTATTTATAAAGCGCCAATAGTTCGCTCAGCGCTGTACATTACAAAGGGGGACAGAACATGTGACAGAACAATACCAATACAATGCAAAACATGAGGGGATTGAGGGACCTGCTCTTTCAAGCTTACAATCTAGGAGATGTTCATTCTTTCTGGCTGTACAGAGCAGTTGGGGAGGTGAAAGGAAAGGTAAGCATTTGTAGTAGAGGAGGTCGGCTATAAAGAGAAACCCATTACTGTACCCTGAATCAGGCAAGAGGCTTGGGTCAGAAATTGAAAAGGTTTACCAGCATATAAAGGAAACAGCAGAGGGCGTCAACTAAGTGCAGTATAAAGGGGAAAAGACTTTATTAAAAATAACAAGTGGCAAGTCACAAGGTGCATAAAGGATAACCTTGTGAATTGTCACTTGTTCATTTTAACAAAGTCTTTTAATATAAACTGCTCTCATATTTTTTGGACTTTCTAGTATAATCCTACACCCGAACAGCGCATTCACATGTATGATTATGTTGTGGCTGAGCTGTATCCATGCCTGCACCATTCTCCATTATCCCTAGTGTTAAAAGGTCTATTGACATTTACCTTGTACAGGTGGTGGAAGCCAAACGCAATTCCAGCTAAAATAACTGCAAGGGCTCCATATTCTCTCCAGCGTGAGCCAGGGGGACCTGTATGAAGGAAATAAAGGACAGATATGTGAAACTGTATTTTAAGGACCTTATCATGGACACAATTCTGCTGCTGGAGAAAGTGGAGTCAATGGAACTGAACATAGTGCATGTTATGGTTGGCCTCCCCTACCTGCTGACCTCTCAGATGTATGCAGCTCCTGCACACTTTCTCCTCGTCAAATGGAGGAATTGTTCTGTTGTGGTGTTTTTAAGAGTGAATATGACACAAGGGAAAAACACTTATATGAGAAAACTCCAATGGGAGAGGCCATTCTCTGACTTGATGTGCTAGATCAGCAATGGGCAAACTACGGCCCGCGGAGCGTGATAAAAAAAAAAAAAAACAGCCAGGGCAGGCAAACATTGGCTGTCACAATGTGTGTAGGCGGGGCAGCGTGACGAACGTGAGGGGAGCTAGGCTCCTCTCACAGTCCGCCCTGAAGACCGAAACGGCGCGGGAACACGGCGAGAGGAACGCGCGGAGCAAAGGTAAGTAAATTGACACAAGGGGGACTTGGCTTACTACTTGGGGGGGAATAGTACTATGGGGGATGAAATACTATATGAGGGATGAATTAATATGGGGGATGAATTAATATGGGGAATGAATTACTATGGGGAATGAATTACTATGGGGAATGAATTACTATGGGGAATGAATTACTATATGGGGGATTACTATTATGAATATATGGGGGATGAATTACTATATGGGGGATGAATTACTATGGGGGATGAATTACTATGGGGGATGAATTACTATGGGGGATGAATTACTATGGGGGATGAATTACTATGGGGGATGAATTACTATGGGGGGATGAATTACTATATGGGGGATGAATTACTATATGGGGGGATGAATTACTATAGGGGGGATGAATTACTATAGGGGGGATGAATTACTATATGGGGGATTAATTACTATGCTTACTATGGGGGAATATTACTATACTTACTATGGTTGTCATGGTAGCGGCTGGGCCGGCCAGTAGCTAGTGGGGGGCATAAAAGTTTTGTAAAATAACTCTTTTTATGCTTTTCTACCTTAAATTAATCTAAACATTTAATGTTACAAATTTTAATTTAATTTATATTAATTCACACATACACATCATTCATCTACTCTTGGTCCGGCCCCCGGGTCCAATATATGAACCCATTGCGGCCCTCAAGTCAAAATGTTTGCCCACCCCTGTGCTAGATACTGGCTCAAGAAAAGAGAAGGTAAACAATCACTGCCCTGAAACTAATATATAGGATATGAATTCCAGCCTAGTAGCTTCCATTGCAAGCATCATCATGCAACGCATGTCTTCTTGTCAGAATTTAACACCTGAATAACCTGAATTGTGGAAGCTGTGCACAAAAAAGGCAAGAAGAGGGATCCTTACTAGTCACAGGTATTCCCTATGGGTTTCCTGCAGGTGAGCTCCTCCACCTTACCGTCTTACCATACCTTGTTCTGCATTGTGTCTTTGTGTGGAGATGGCTATCTGGGTAGACTCATGGCTTTGCTCCCGCATTTCAGAGTTTCCCCCTCCCAGTGACTTATTGTAAGTATTCGAAAGCATCAAGGGAAATGGAGGAAGCACAGATATACAAAACAGATGAAGCTGAATCAAGAAGATGCTTGCACTGCGGATCCTGAGGTACAGCTTCCACTCCAGCAAGGAGAAACAGAGAGCAGTACAGTAGCATCATCATCAAATCTCACTACAAAACTCAGGAGACTAGTTGTTACAGGCAGCAGTGCCTTAGACAATCTCACACTGCAGAAATACAGTTTTGAGGCTACTGAACAGAAGTGCCCAGACAGGAAGTACATTGCTGCTTTTCAGGCAAATGCAAGACAAAAAGGTAATTCTTTTATGGTACTGCTTAGGCAAAATTGACATTTTATACATAGAAAATCTTTACGTTTTGAGTTTGCAGTTATTTTAAAATATGTCTTGTGTGCAGCGGTATAACCCTGACTGTACAAAAGCACATCGGATCAGTCCCATCCATTATCTGCGGAAGATATCAGTTGTCTTTCTTCCCCCTCCCTCATGGCCCGCGTTTCTCTCTCTCATCCTGGCTCTCCCTGCCTCATTCTTATGTTCGTTTTTCTTTTTTAATTTTGCCACGAGACAGACTTGTGTCACTTAATGTAAAACGAGTGAGATGGCATTTCGGCTCTGAGGCTTTATAGACTTGCTGAACTTTTGTGAAAGATCATCCCAGTCCCGTTTCATTAATAATGAAAGGGAGGGGGCAATAAAATCGCTCACTTCCAGGAGATGCCATAGACTCCGAAGCTTGGGGTTACACTCTTCTGTTGGCATTAATATTTTCCCCTTAACCCCTTAGATATCAGCAGGGGCTGCAAATGAACATCTTTTGGGCCTTTCTGGGTCTAACAGTATTTACAGTTATCAAAACTCAGTGAAAAGACCAGAGTGGTTAATTTTTTCCTTTTTAAAAAGTAAGTTTGCCAAAAATAAATAATTTAGTTTCAGTAGGAGTTCCAGTAGGTGGAATCTGGCACTTGCAGAGACCTCTGTGCCCATATTTTCAACCCTCTTACATATCTATGGGAGTGATATAAAACCCAGCTCTAGTCAATTTTTTTTTTTTTTTTTTTGCAGTTTTACTGCAAAGAAAGGGTTAGAAACAGCAAGGCTTTTTGCTACATGTATCTCTTTTGGGAAGATTTACCCTTTCTTCCCCCCCATAGATAACTTAAAGAGCAACTAAACAATATCTGATAACCACAGACCAAAAATGCTATTTAAGTTTTAATATTCAAAGCAAACTCACCCATCCATCTATATTTCCATGCTTTATTTTGTTGAGAAATAAATTTGAAAAACACCCCCCTAGCATACCTAGCCCCGACCTTCTTGAGTAAGGGCAGATGATTCAAGTAGCATTTACTTCCTGGAATCCACCGGACCTTAGCTGAGAAAGTCCCTCCCCCTCTTCCAGATAAAAGAAAAAAAAAAGGCCCATGAAGAGACTCCCGCGATGTATGATATTATTTTGCCCTAGGCTAGAAACCAGGAAGCAACTGAAAAAATGTAAATCTTAAAAAAAAAAAAAAAAGTTTAAAAAAAGTAAACATAACATACCTTCCTATCTATTCACTAATTATAGCAGCATAAGGATTAAAAATAGTTCATGATGATTGAGAAAGTTTAATTGCGTTTAATTTTAAGATACACATTGTTGAGTCTACATATTGAAATATGTGTTTAGCTGGCCAGCTTTGTCTAAAAAAAATCCAAACTAGCCATTTCCACAAAAGGGGTTTGCCTTGATACAAGTGGCCAGCAACACATACTCTGCAATATAAATAGCCAAACACCCCCCTATATTACAATTCATGTGTAGTAAAAAGTTGCAGCGCTAATTAGAACAGAACGTCCCATACACAATAAGATAGATGACAGCAAAGTCCATGTGGGTTTCCCATATACAGGAATTAAGAGCCATGCATAGGAAAGGGGTTCCAACCCAGAGAGGAGACCATCACCATACACCCAAATAAATTGACCTCTTTACCAAAAGTGTTGACCGACCCACAGGTCAGTCAACATAAGCAGCATCATAAATCCAGCAGGTGCTGCAACCGGTTCTTGTATAGGAAACACTCACAGGGTCACCCAAGATATTCTTCCAAAAAAGAGCTTCAAATGGCAAACTCCACATCAGGCCACCAAAGCACCACATGAAAAGAATTGCCAACTCATAGTGTAGAAAATTCAAAGCTAAAACCTATTTATTGAATTGCACTTGCATAGCAAGCAAGGATATCAACATATCAATAGTGCTGTGTTAAGTTTCAAACCAACAAGATGGCCGATGTTCCTCAAGAGCGCAATGAGGCTTGGGGGGCTGGGGAGCTGCACTTAGAAGATGTTTTACCTTACTGCAGAGAATACATTAAGGTACAAAAAAAAAAAAAAAAAAAAAACCTTCATCCCTTATAAGCACTTTAATTGTAGGATGACTGACTGAAGAGAGCAAAACTTCACACGGCCTCATACATTTTTGTTATGCTAAGCAAACTTTGAAAAAGTACTGGCTAAGCAAAATACTTTACGCATTAAGCTACAACTGCATTTTATTTATTGCTAATTAGAAAAGATATAATCAGAATATTTTCAAAAACAAATCAAAGAACTCCCCATATATGCTAAAAAAAAGTGTGAAAATCATTTTGATATGTACAGCAGCTAAAAAGTTGTTGTGGAGTAAACCAATACACACCAATACTTAAAGTGTTACTAAACCCAGGACCCTGCATTCACTATATCCGGTCTCCCCGGACCCTGCATTCACTATATCCGGTCTCCCCGGACCCTGCATTCACTATATCCGGTCTCCCCGGACCCTGCATTCACTATATCCGGTCTCCCCGGACCCTGCATTCACTATATCCGGTCTCCCCGGACCCTGCATTCACTATATCCGGTCTCCCCGGACCCTGCATTCACTGTATCCGGTCTCCCTGGACCCTGCATTCACTATATCTGGTCTCCCCGCACCCCACAGTCACTATCTGGTCTCCCGGACCCTGCATTCACTATATCCGGTCTCCCCGGACCCTGCATTCACTATATCCAGTCTCCCTGGACCCTGCATTCACTATATCCGGTCTCCCTGGACCCTGCATTCACTATATCCGGTCTCCCTGGACCCTGCATTCACTATATCGGTCTCCCCGGACCCTGCATTCACTATATCCGGTCTCCCCGGACCCTGCATTCACTATATCCGGTCTCCCCGGACCCTGCATTCACTATATCTGGTCTCCCCGCACCCCACAGTCACTATATCTGGTCTCCCGGACCCTGCATTCACTATATCTGATCTCCCCGGACCCTGCATTCACTATATCTGGTTTCCCCGGACCCTGCATTCACTATATCTGGTCTCCCCGCACCCCACAGTCACTATCTGGTCTCCCTGGACCCTGCATTCACTATATCTGGTCTCCCCGGACCCTGCAGTCACTATATCTGGTCTCCCCGGACCCTGCAGTCACTATATCTGGTCTCCCCGGACCCTGCAGTCACTATATCTGGTCTCCCCGGACCCTGCAGTCACTATATCTGGTCTCCCCGGACCCTGCATTCACTATATCTGGTCTCCCCGGACCCTGCATTCCCTATATCTGGTCTCCCCGGACCCTGCATTCACTATATCTGGTCTCCCCGGACCCTGCATTCACTATATCTGGTCTCCCCGGACCCTGCAGTCACTATATCTGCTTTCCCCGGACCCTGCAGTCACTATATCTGCTTTCCCCGGACCCTGCAGTCACTATATCTGGTCTCCCGGACCCTGCATTCACTATATCTGGTCTCCCACAGTACATGGAGATGCAATTATTTTAGTAAATATAAACTGCTAAATACCTTTTCTCATCAGCAGTATATAGCAGTCTTGTGACTTCTATCAGTGTCCAGCAGAGCACTGGTTACAGCTTGTAGGATTGTAGGAGTTTTCTTTCCTATAACCCCTGACCTTTGACTGGACAGTGCTGATTGGTGCTGTGCTGATCACATGCACTATTCCAAGAAAAAAAAAAAAAAAAACCTCTCAGTCTTGTGAATTCTATCAGTGCTCAGCAGAGCACAGATTAAAGCTTGTAGGAGGAGTTTTCTCTTTTGCTCTAGGAGGATGGAGAACCCCTGACCTCTGTCTGGAAAGTGCTGATTGGCCCTGTGCTGATCACATGCACTATTCCAAGAAAAAAACAAACCTCTCAATACACACCAAATTGAGCATGTGCAGAGTGTCTCCACATAATATATCTTATCAGAAGATAAGAGGGGGGCACTGGAATAAGGGGAGGATCAGAGAAGTTAGAATCAAACATCCTTTTTACACAATGCAGAGGATTAACCCCTTAGGTTCCACGGTGAGTATAACAAGCGTGCTTTACTGCATATACAGACTGATTTTACTGTTGTAGGTTCAGTACCACTTTAAAAGCAGAGCTCCA